AATCTTCTAGACAATGCCACTCTTGTCTAACTTATTTATTGAGTCCTTTTTCAACGTAATAATATGAGTGACATTTCTAGAATTTGTGTAAACAACACTTATATTTTATTTGGACAGGACCTTATAGAAAGTTATCTTCTTAGAATAAGGTTATGGCACGGCAAGGAACACATTTTTGTTTGAAAGTGATGGATTCAAGAAACGAGAAACAACTCCTACATCGCATTCTAAAAGATATTAGATTCAAGATTCATCCAAACCATTTCTCTGTTTATTATAAAAACTGACTCAAGCATTAATGTATCTGCTAATAACAAATGGAGGATTAGCATTAGTGTTAACCGTCTCACAAGCTGCCGTAATATTTTGAGATCCAAACGACGAATCTGCAAGTTCAAGAGCTTTGTCAATCATAGAGAACACGATGGCTATTTTTTGACATTGTGGATTGTGTCAACAAAAGCTAAGTATTCTACCTTAATCCAAAAGTTCTTATGTGAATCAATGGTACTAATGGAATTAAGTATATTAAAAGCAACCTATTATGGTAGGTGGCTTTGAATGGTAAAAGGAAGTTTGGGTATGCAAGAGTCTTCTACAAGGATGTCAAATTGGCCGAAGAAATAAATCAACGATGAGAACGCTGGATTGGAGAATCTAGGTTAAATTCCGATATCAATACTAGAGCTGGTGCTGCTAATATGTGGTTTGGCAGATGATCGTGGCAGTTAAGAAGAGCCAATCGCCAGTGTATTTGTCTCCTTCTCTCAGCCATTAGGTAATAGCGCCAGGGGGTGTACACAGTGGTTGGTGAAAAGTAGGTTGAAAGTGTATCGCGATACTGAGCTTTATGTGGTTGTAAACATGGCTGTTTTGTTAACATCAATTAGTGCTCTAGCTTCTAGTGTAGCGTACATATCATCTAGCAAGCAAGGATCTAGCTTTGGCTTTGAATGGGTGATCTGGGAGGATGATTTCAAGAAGTCACGCAGCCCTTCTTATGTGCTTAAAGCTACGTCCTTACTGGCGATGCTGACCAAAAACTAGTAGTTGCCACCTAGCGTGAGGTACGTGGTACTATCAAGCGCGAAAGTTGGAAATCAGAGGTACGTGCGTCATTTAAAAATTAAATATGTTAAAAAAGATGGAATTTAAAGATGAATAACTATTTTCATGATTAATCAATAAAACTTTATTTTCAACTGCAAACTGTAGGAACGGATAAAAATTGTTGAAAGGGTTGAAGACATAGTTTATTTAATCAGTTTTTATTACTAATAGGCAATCGTTAACATATCTCAAATACAGCAGAACAAAATCATGGCAACCATTTAGTATTAAATTCTCCAAAGACTCTTATTTGACTTCCGCAAACGTGAAACAAGGTGACCTACAAACTTTAGTAAAAGTTTCGTAAGATTGATTATATGTGTTGCCATTAAAAGAAAAACATTTAGAATTAATAAGGAATTTAATTCCATCTGAAAAGTTAGTTTTTTTTTATCTAAGAGGCTTATGACACTGTTAATTTCTTGCGATGAACAACTTTTGATTAAGGTAAAAGGGAAATTTGTAAATAGATATACTACGTCAAAAAAACGACAGAACTATTATCTGGAATAACCAACTTTTAAACTTTTTCTCTAACTTCAAACAAACTTTTTTCAGAGTATTAAAATTTGCATAAGAAATGTAAAAAAGGGTTCAAAAAAGTTGATTAAGTTGACTGAGAGGAGAACCAGTAAAAGACACGATCAAGCTTGCTGGAAAATCATTCTCATATGCCATTATTAGGTTAAAGGCTCTGGACAAATGACTTTTATTTAAGCTAGAAATATCACGCTTTGGAATCTTTTCTACGCTAATACTGTTCTAGTCCTCTAATTTTGTACAAGATTCTTTATAGAGTGAATGAATTTGTAAAGAACTCCTTTTCTATCATTGTCCTTTAATTTAATGTAATATAAATAGTAACACATTAATTATTCATTATTTATTATTAATGTAAGGTTAATGCCATTTCGTCTCATGAATAATATTACATCAAATTAAAGGACAATGATAGTACAGAAATTTTTTATCATACTCTGTCAAGAATATTTTTTTAAAATGAGAAACAAGGAATATTTTAATGCAGTAGAGATTCCAGAGCCTGATATCTCCAATTTGAATGGAAGTTATTTGTCCAGAGCCTATGGCCTCGTCAGGTATGAAGGGATGGTTTTTTAGGAAGCCTTATCGTTTATTAATTAGTTCCTATATTTATTTACTTAATAAGTGGTTTTTAACCCTTTGCAAGAAATTTTAAAACAAATTTCAACATTCTGTAAAAAATTCTTATGAAGTTGGAGAAAAATAAAGAAATGAGTAATTTCAGGTTATTATTCTCTTGCTTCTTTTGACGCAGTATCACTCTATACAAATCTTTTTTTTTTCTTCATTGAAAGTCGTATATCGCGAAAAATAACTAGTTTTGTCAGCCTGTTAGGTATAGGCAGAACTTAGTTTTAAGAAGGAATTGACTTTCTTATAAATTCTTATTATTTTTTTTACAATGGCAACGTATATGAGGAATCTCACGAAACTTTCATGAAACATTATTGGTAGCTTCGTTTTACGTTCGCGGAAGTCATATAAGAGTCTTTGAAGAGTTAAATACTGAATGGTTGCCATTATCATGTTTTGCTGTATTAAAGATATATTGACAGTTATCTATAAGTACAGAATAGAAGGACACACCATAAGGTGAAAAAAAAGTTTCAGGATGAGACAAAGAGTGAGTACAGAAATAAGTAAAAGTAAAGAGAGTGAAAGTAACGAGAGAGAGAGAGTAAAGTGAAAAAAAAGAACGATTAATTTGGCCTCTATCTAGTGGGATGGAAAATAAATAAAGTATCCCATAAAAAAAGAAAGAAAGAAGAATCCACCTTGTCTTATACAAATAAGAAATTTGTTGGCTGGTAAGTGGGAGTAAGACTGATGACAATATGAAGGAGAGAAACGATGAAGACAGCACTGACACTAAGGACAAAAGCAACGTACTAACTTACAAACTAACACTTGTAATATCACATATCTAGTTCTATATATGTAAGTTACTTGTAAGAATAGACAATATTATGCATCTTATGACAGTAGATTAAAGAGATGAAACACGAGTATGCTAAGAATTAAAGGACTTTCAAATAATTGACCTAGACAAAATGTAAGTCCCTGGTCCAGGAGTAGAAATCATACTACATACATATTTAGATAATGAACAAACAATCCTCTCGGAATTTTAAAGAACGAAACAGAAGACATTCCCTTAGTGGTCGCAATAAGAAAATATCTGAAAAGATTAAGGTATATTATGATCCCATTAAAGATATTCACTGTAAGTACAGCAAAGGTGGGGAATGGTCTAGACGAATTTCATTGGTTACCGATAAAATATTTATGAAGACAAGACTAGAAAAATGGATAATTTCAACTTGCCACTGTCACAGAAAACGTGAACATATCCTTTTGCGACGATGGATTAGGAATAGTCAGTAAATCTCACGACTTATATGATTGGTGGACATAATGGCAATGTAAAAAATGTAAAAAATTTATGGTCGGATAAGGGTAAAATATTTTGAAGACGAAATAAAGAAAGTCATTTTAGAGAATGTACATATATGTAGGAAACGTCAACGATAAAAGTTAGCACGTGTCAAATTTGAATGACCCCTGAATCTCAATCCACCCCTTATAAAGCTTTCAAGGTTCTTAAAGTGAATACAGTGAGAAGACTCTCCATTCCCTCAGTAGAAAATTAATGTATAACAATCTAAAATGATTTGTTAAAATATTTTGATGCCATCCCATTATCCAGCGCCGCAGCCAAAACAGTTGCTACCCATTTTGCATAAGAATTTATTTGCCACCTTGCATGTCCCAAGGTAATAAAAAGCGATCAAGAATAAGACTTTCAAAGCCAAATGATGCAAAGATTTACAAACGTCTTTGAAATCAAATAGGTTGTATCAACAGCTTCGGGATCTCGAGCCATAGGCTCAATTAAAAAAAGCCAACATTCCTTGGTTGAATATTAAAAAATGTATACTGAACAGGGCAAATATAGTACCTGCCTACTGTTTTCCCCATTTTAAAAGAATACATAATTGACTCTGTTTTACCCCTTACGAGATTTTTTTTTATCATAAGACACGGTTCCTCTCTGCATTCGCAAGTGAAATAGAAGATAAAACCTGCACTATGCATTTGGACGAATTAGTTAGTAATTTAATAATTTTATAATAGGGTCCGGCTCATACATAATTACTGAAAGCCAAACAAAAACCAAAAATATATAATGAACAAACAATAAACATAAAAATATTTGCTATAGAAGACAACGTTTAACGTCATCTCGTTAAAGGAACCCAAACTTGGAAAATTTTACAATTTTTAGGTAGATTCCTCAACCCCTCCGCTCATGCCTCGGGACCATTAATCGGACAACTGTGAGTAGTGAACAAGGTGGGAGAAGAGTAGAGATGGTTGGAGAAATCGACGGCTTGTGATCTGAGGTTCAGTCTTTTTTGGCTTCTGGCCCTCATGCGAACGTGTGTGCGCCATTAAACTTAGCACTGTATTTTCGACAATAAATACCTTGTTACAAATCGCATGTAGGGCTACGGATGCGATCAAACCATACCAGCACTACTATTAGACGTTGACACCGATGCCCAAGCTCATGAATTATGATCCTCCGCTGATCAAACATTCAAGTTCTGCTTATAGGTTAGGCGTCGAACTAAGTCCCTGCTCTGTTACAGGATAAAGGGAAATGAAACCGCCTCGCTCGAAACCCAGAAAGCCCTTGCTGAGGTACTAACCGGCTTCACAGCCGAGGTAACGGATATACTGACGAGTCAATGGATACACGGATCAGTGGAGGCCCACCTCGAGCTTTTGAACAGCCACTTGTCTCGTTTTCAATTCATCCACGTCAAGCTAATTGAGACCCATCTATGGACGGCAGCACGCAAGGATCGATCGAGAGTTATCGTGGGCCACGACTGCCACAAATCAATATCCCAACCTTCTCAGGCAAGTGGGAAGACTGGGAGCCGTTTCGAGATCTGTTTAGAGCGCTCATCCATGAGGAGAAACAACTGACCAATGTCAAACGCTTGTTCTACCTCAAATCTTTGGTACAGGGTGGGGCAAAGGCGACTCTGGATACCGTGCAAATGATGGGATCCAATTATACCACTGCCTGGAACCTACTCGAGGCTCATTTTCAACACCGCCGTCTTCTTATTCAAGACCATCTGTCGGCACACCGTAATCTAAAACCACTTCAGGATAAATCAGCAGCTGGATTGAAAAGACTGCTAGATACACTCAAACGCCACTGCGATCAGCTACGAGTCTTAAAATGTCCGGTCAACCACTGGAATCACTGGCTTGTGGACTCTGCCACCACTGGTCTGGATCCCACAACAAAGTGCTATTAGGAAGATGAGTTAGAACAGTTGGAGGCAGCTCAATCAGAGCCTGATGCTAAGGTGGCCACGTTCGTTGCTCTCGCCAAATTCCTCAGACGCCGATGTCGCGCACTTAGCTCTATTGAAGCGTCACGTCTACCAAGGTTAACAAGACGAAGTTTAACGCTGATGAGCTCCACGAGACTAAGAGCTCATCACAGTGCTGACTATCTGTGCTTCCGACTGCCGTTGTCAGTCTGCGTGGTCGGAAGGGTGAGCTGATGAAAGTCCAAGTGCTGCTTGACCCATGCTCTAAAATTACTGTCTCAATTAATCTAGCTCAACGACTGGGGGTTCAGCTAGAGACCACAGATGCGACAGTCCTTAGGCTTGGAGGCGACAGCGCGGCTTGGTCTCTCTTCCGGGCATGCCTGTACTTAAAGCCCTTTATTGGCCAGGCCTCACTTCCACATTATGTCTACTGTCTGCCACGCCCCGGAATCTTTTCTCCTGCCACCCCGTTGCATTCAGAAGTGGGTCAACAATGGGCAGATTTCAATCACCTTGCTGATTCCAACCTCGACATCCCGGGAAAGGTGGATGTCCTCATGGGGGCAGACATATATGTGAACTTACTTCGACCCGGGCATGTTCAGCGTGGTGAGACTGTGGGGGAAGCACACCATATTTGGCTGGGTACTCACTGGTCGTACTCCCCCCTGCGGTTACGGCTTGGTAACCCCCACTTTATATGCGACCCAGCAGGAAGATCCAAGCCCACCCTGGCACCGGTAATTCGTGGCCTCGCTTCATGCCTTGCAGCGTCGTTTTGAACGGACCCCAACGATGGCTATTGAGTACACCCAATTCATGGAGGAATATCTTACCCTTGGCCACATGCGACCGTTGACCGACGTCCAACTGGCCGCCCACAAGGGCCCCGTTCACTACATTTAACATCACGGTATTTGGCAGAGTGGAGATCCAAAAGAAAAGCTTCGTGTCGTTTTCAACGCATCACAGTCAACTTCGAGCGGGTACAGTCTAAACGATGTACTTTATGCTGGCCCACAACTCCAGACAGCGCTACCGATCGTTCTTTTGCGCTGGCGAAGACATCGTGTGGCCTTTTGCAGCGACGTCAAAATGATGTTTCACCAAGTCAGAATCGACGAAAATGAAGTTGACTTGCAGCGCATTGTATGGAGCCCCACACCACATACACCCCCTATGCACTATCAGCTGCTGATCGTCACCTACGGAGCTTGTTGCTCACCGTATCTGTCGCCATGTACAATAGAGCAGCTGTGCAGCGACGAATGATCCAACTGGCCTGACGCCGTTCCCGTCGTTTGGAATGACTGCTACGTGGACGACATCCTCTCAGGCGCGGATTCCATAGAAAATGCCCGTCATCTCCGTGACCAGGTAATTGGTCTCCTACAAGCCGGCCAATTCCCCCTAAAAAAGTGGGTAGCCAACGTGCCAGAGCTGTTGGACGACCTTACTAAAGAAACCCGCTTGAGGCGCTCGTGGTGCCAATTGGGCGAAGATGGATACGTCAACAAGTTGGGAGTCAGCTGGGATCCAATCTCAGATAGCTTCACGCTCACGCTTCCAGACGTTCAGCCACAAAGGACGAAACATGTAATGCTCGCGGCTCTCGCTCGCCTATTCGACCCGTGAGGCTGGTTAGCACCTATCACCCTAAATGCCAAGCTCTTGGTACAAGATCTCTGGCGTGCACGACTTGATTGGGATGAAACTGTCCCTCCATCAATGGTTAAGAGATGGGCCACTTTCATTGATCAGCTCCAAAGCATGTCAGGATTCACCCTACGGTTCTGGATTGGCCACGGTTCCCATCTTGAGCTGCAGATCCACGCTTTCTCTGATGCCAGTTGACGAGCCATGTCCGCCGTAGTGTACTCCCGAGTCCAGGACTCTGACGGCCGCATACGATGTAGCATTCTTCTCGCTCGAACAAAGCTATCGCCAATTCGTAGCCTCAAGCCAATGTCTTCGACTTCAACTCGCATGACCATCCCACGATTGGAGCTCAGAGCGACACTTCTGGCCATCAAACCACTGTAATCGGCCGCAAAGAACTTGGAGTAACATTCGACTGCTGTCACATCTGGTTTGACTCTCAAGTAGTCCTTAGCTGGCTTCGCTCAGATGAGCCCACAAAAAACTTTCTCGTTGACAATTACGTGGCCCATACTCAAGAGACGCTGCTAACCCGAATCTGGCACTATGTCCTGACCGAATCCAAATCCGCGAACGTCGCCACCCGAAGCTCAGACATGAGGAAACTCCATCTTCACTTCCTATGGTGGGAAGGGCCCAGTTGGCTCGTGGAGGAGCTGAATTCCTGACCCAAAGAAAATATCAGATACTCTGCTCTAACGCTGCATGCTTATTGTGTTATACAGAACCTTGAGTTTGACATCTTCAAGAAGTTCTTGACTCTCGATGTCCTCTTACGTTTCCTCGCACGCCTACGTCGAGGACTCAGACGATACCTCGGGCGGGATCCGACCCCACCGCTATCCTCTCGGCTTACGACAATAGAGCTCAATGCCACACTAGAAGCTTGCGTCCGTCTAAGCCAGACCTCAACCTTCAAAGATGAGCTCCAGATCCTAAAGCGAGGGGGAACACTGCCCAAGGCTTCGTCATTAACACGTCTAGCATCCTTCTTTGGCACGGATGGGATCATTCGCGTCAGTAGGCAGCTTCAAAACTCATCGCTAGCTTACAATGAGCAGCACCCTCCCATCATCAGTGGATTATGTCACCTATCCTGGTTGGTGATCTCGTGAGCCCACTCTCGGGCGCTTCATGGTGGTTACCGCCTTACGAGCACCTACACAGCTAAACGTGCTTATATTGTTGGAGGCCCGAGAAGAATTAAGACGTTCATCCGCCAGTTCGTGGTATGCGCCCGACTTCAAGCGTGCCCCGCTTCCCAGATGATAGCCCTCCTTCCAGCCTCAAGGGTCACTCACTCCTGCGCTTTCTATTGGACTGGAGTAGATTATGCAGGACCTTTTCTAGTTCTTTTGGCAAGGGGCCGTGGGATCCGCACTACAAAAGGCTACATCGTCATATTCGTATGCATGACTACAAAGGCTCTTCACTTGGAGCTGGTAGGTGATCTCTCAACAGCGTCTTTTATGGGCGCCCTTGCACGATTCATAGGACGACGAGGACGACTGTCGGAGCTCTGGAGTGACAACGCCACTTATTTTCACCATGCCGATGTGAAGATGCGTGACACCTTACGCCAGGCAAGGATTAACTGGAACCTCGTCGCCGGGACCTTGGCAGACCAGAGCATCTCCTGGCAGTTCATCCTACCGGGTGCACCTCACTTTGGCGGGCTCTGGGAGGCAGCTGTCATGTCAGTCAAGGGTCATCTACGCCGTGTCATGGGTTCACGCCACCTTACATACAAAGAATTCTCAACATCGAGATGGTGCTAAATAGTCACCCATTGTGCCCTCTGACTGGTGACCGCGATGATCTCGACGTTCTCACTCCGGGTCATTTTCTCATAGGTGCTCCTCTTTAATCACTCATCGAGGCTCCCCCATCGACGGACCGATTAGATCAACTAGCTCATTGGGACCTCGTACGTGAGATCCGTACTCAATTCTGGCTCCGTGGGAGCCGCGAGTACCTCAATACACTTCAGCAAAGGCTGAAGTGGGCAACCCCTCGTCGCAATTTTATCGTCGGAGACGTGATCGTGCTGCTTGACCCAACCCTGCTTTAATCCAACGGTCGCTGGCCCCTGGGACGAGTCATCCCGGTTCATCCCGGCACTGACGGGCTTGTGCTGGCTGCTACTGTCAAGACGGCGTTCGGGCAATACGACCGCCTGGTCACCAAATTAGCGCTACTTCCAGTCACCTCTTCGGTCCCTCCTTCGGCAGAAGCCCCTCCCTAATCGTTTACGAAATCTGGGACGGCGGGTGGACGTCGATCTTTGTTCAAGGAACAAGGTGGGCGGGAATGTTGGTAGATTGCTGAACCCCTCCGCTCATGCCTCGGGACCATTAATCGGACAACTGTGAGTAGTGAACAAGGTGGGAGAAGAGGAGAGATGGTTGGAGAAATCGACGGCTTGTGATCTGAGGTTCAGTTTTTTTTGGCTTCTGGCCCTTGTGCGAACGTGTAAGTGCCATTAAACTTAGCATTGTACTGTTAATACCTGTACTATACAATAAATACCTTGTTACAAAACTTACACGATCAATAAATAGGGTAATACAGAATTATAAAAAGTATAGAAAATAAAAGTGTAACACCAGACGTAGGATTATTGTTTCTCTGTATCCTATTTAATAATTAATTAAACCCATAAAAAGGACAAGAGAGAGCTAGTAAATGTGGTTGCAGCTTATCAGGTGGGGCAGAGAAATCAAGAACGCTTCGATTTGAGAATCTTTAAAGTGGGATTACCACCTCTCATCTTTTTCTAGTTTAAAACTACCTTGTGCCATGCTCCCCTTAAGACAAAAAATAAATACAAAATAACTAAAACAAAAATAAATCGATGGATAAATAATTATCAAAAATAAATGATATCCAAATTTAACGAAAATTTCTCATGCCACCCTAAAATAAATCTAATTATAATTTTATACTTAATGGAGTTCTAATAAACTATATCCTCTGCCCTTCAACAAAAAAAAACAAAAACATATACTTCAAACCTCCGTAACTTATTTTGTGCTCAAAACTTACGCATACAGCGCTACTGCGTAAGTTAGTTACTTACTCAGTACTTTCTAAACTAATCTAATAGATGCCCTAAGCTTTAGTTGGCAAGAAATCGTGCATGATTCATCGATCTACAACTTCATTCAAAGAATTAGGCAAAAGTAAGTCTCGCGATTTTCTCTCTTTCTCTCTCTTTCTGTCTGCAATCTCTCACCTTTTTATTATTAACCTTTTATAGATGTATTTTACGAATAAAGCTCCCTATATCCTAGAAAATGACATCCAGCCTCTGGTAGTTATCATTTCTGAGGACCCACACATCTCTAAGAATCTTTACGTGCCCGAAGAACCTGACGTACTTGAGGATCTTGACATGCCTAGGAATCCCGAAGACCTTGCGTTGGTGCAAATAAATCGAGCAACTATTCCTGTGCCCTACCCCACTCCCAATGTGATCTTGTTTAAACTGGTAGGAGGCATTCAAATAGAAAAGGCATATGTAGCCTACCTTCAGGTCAACGACGCACCACCTCGGAGAGGATTGACATCTCCTTATCAAGTGGTATGGCTTCTTGAGGATGCACTGAATTTAAACTGCCATGCTAGGAGGATATGCACCACGATGTCTTGAGCTAAATGTGAGGTATGTAAAGATCAGCTTCTGCAACGGATAAGAAGAAAACTGATGTTCCAGACCCTGTGGCCTAGCTGGGCTGGCCACGATTTCATCGCTTTGGGGTTTCTGCTATGTGCACATAGTGGAGTTTAACTTTACGGTACACATCCTTTTTTGCCCTCGGTGAAGGCAGAATCATGCAGTAGTGAGGGAGTTACACCAATGCATGACCTTACAGCTCACCGTTTTATTTTATAGGGAACAAATTCTTGAACGATTTTTTTTAACCCTTGTTAATTAATAAAAATACTATGTTACCCTTTTTAACTTTTTCAATAAAAAGTTCCTTTTTTTTTCCCTTTTTATACTTTCCCCACATAGAATCAGTTATTTCCATACAATTCTTACTCCAAACTTGTATAAAACAATTATTCACATTATTATTTTATATCAACACACCCAGCCTTCAACTAAAGTTAACTTAAACAAAACAGATTAATTACATATGTACAAACTTTACACAGTTTAGCCATTCTCAGCTCATGTACTCCAAAAATCAATGTTACATTTCAATTTACACTAAATCAATTATCTACTTTACTTAACTTAACCACTCTCTTCGTATAAGCCCAAAATCAACATTTCCTAGCTCATTTGCTCCGAAAACAAACACTTCATTTTAATTCATACAGAACTGAATCACTTTCCTATTCGTTTTAATAGACAAGAATTGTTTTTCAACTTAAATACTAAAAAAAAATTGTTACATTTTAATTAACCCTCAAACAATCATCAACTTCATACAACTCAACCACTCGCTTTGGATAAGCCCAAAATAAACACTTCCAAGTTTATATACTCTAAAAACTACTGTGATAGGCCTATTTACACTGAAATAATTATTAATTATACACAAATCACTCTCTCCCAAAGTATACATTGAGTTTTATTTATAGTTATCACGCACATTTAACCAAAACATTCTAGTTTGCTCTTTATTTAAGCAAAACATCTGATACTCACTAAAACCAAATATTTTGTCCTACAAACATTTAGACTGGATATGCACAGCCTCAGTCATCTACGTTGAATACACTGGATACGTAAGTTCAAACATTTTTATATAAACTTAGAACGAAAACACTCATATTACAATCACCTTAATTGAACACTTAAGTGAGAATCTTTTTTATTGACTAGATTCGCTGTAGACAACTACAGAACCAGCATAGTTTTTAATGCATATTGAGACAAAATTCTTAAAGCGGGCCACCTAAAAATCGATGATAAAGGTATTAAAAAATAATTAACGTGACTTAATAGTACTTTTGAAAAAAAAATACCCATATTTTTTCTTTTTGTCGAAATTCTTTTTTTTCAACAATTATTAACAATATAAATTTTACCCCATAACTATGAGACAAAATTCTTAAAGCGGGCCACCTAAAAATCGATGATAAAGGTATTAAAAAATAATTTACGTGACTCGATAGTACTTTTGAAAAAAAAATACCCATATTTTTTCTTTTTGTCGAAATTCTTTTTTTTCAACAACCATATTTTACAAAATAATTTTTTTCTCCTGATTGACTCAATGAATATTAATGAAATTGTATGGGGAAGTCGAGGATAAATAGTCCTTTAAGAACATATTTTTAAAATTTATGTAGCATGCGATGTGTTTGAACAAATTCATGAAAGTTATAAACAAATAGAAATTAAACATACTTCTCAATCACTCACGACAATAGTTCTTACATATTTTGATTCCTTATTCAATTTCGAATAAATGTGTGGAAAAAAAAATTTGGGCACTCGAATACGTCAACAACAACGCTTGTTTGTTTGCATCGCTCTTCGGTGCGCAGCGGCGCGAACTGGACGCGACGCGTCCGTGCTTGCACCACACCGACACTCAAAGTAAGTATTGTTACACCTCCGCTCTTTCATTTATTTACTGTTGCTTCTAGTCTTCAGCATGGATCTTAGTGCCTTGTTAGTAGCGGTTTATACGTTGTTATTATTAAACAATGCTGATAGCAAGTAGTTGTTGTAATCCGTTGAATAAAGAAGGACATAAATTTGTTTATAAAAATATTTTTCTCATCACCAAGAAGTGGAACAATAAATTTAAAAACTTTATTGGATTGTATATTTGTGATCCGTGCAAGCGTCAAGTAAACAGGCAATCTAATACTATATCGCAACCACAAGTTTCGAGAAATAGTGCAGTTAAAAGTGATTCTCCGATTCTGGAGACAGACAGGGGTCAGGAAGAACAAGATGACCTCGATAAAGATCCTCATAGCGATGATCAGGTAATTAAAACATTGTATAACGAAATTTTCATTATATATGAAACAATAGTATATTACGATACATGGCCACATAATCGCTGCCAGTTGACGTTCCTACTACATGTGTATACCTATAGCTATGATTTTTGTTTCTGGTAGGGCGCTTGGCGCACCGCCTGTCGGACAATGTGTGATACGAGATAAAGTAAAAATTAAAAAAAACATTATGTAATTTTTTATTTTTGTAGGATTTTGAAGTTTCTCCTGTCAAAAAGTCACGAACCCGATCATTAGCAGAACAGTAATCTTGTAGTCACCATTCTATGGATGAAAAATGGATTAAAGATTTAAGGCTGGCTATCATTAATGAAGTTTCTCGTTTAGGTAAAATTAGTCTTTTAACTACGGTACCATTGTCTTGGAGCATCCGATAAATGAGAAAAGAATTAATTGTATCCTGACGAATTGCTTCACGAGCATAACAGTTACACGCAACTTCAGGGTACGGCGCTCGTCCTGAAGTGAGAAGTAGGCGTAAGCGCTCAAATGATACGACTAGTAGAAAAATCCAAAATTTCTACTTGTCAGATGAAGTTAGTAGATTGATTCCCGGTATAAAAGACTATATTTCAGTTAAGGAAAATGGTCAACGACAACAAAAACAAAAAAGATTACTTTTGAATGATGTTGGTAGCTTGCACGGGCAATTTGTCGATCAAAATCCGGAAATTGAAATTTCGTTATCTAAATTTCGCAAATTAAGACCGCGTGAATGCATCTTAGCTGGTGCTAAAAGAACGCATAATGTATGTGTATGTAAAATCCACAAAAATATTAAATTAAA